TAATATTAAAACCCAGAAGAAAATATACTGAATTTTGTACAGATTTATTACTGTGTTGTAAAATTATAAACCCTTTATTTATTAAGTGTGAATATCTTAATAATAAACTAATAAATATTTTTCTTATTAGCGCTATAACTATTTTGTGTAGGAAAACTTATAATCTACTTCATTAAAGTTAATATGAAAATAAACTTCCTCAATACGATATCGGAGAAAATAATTGAAGGTGTAGTAATTCCTGGATTCGAATTTCTTCGTTAAGGTTCTGTAGGAATGACAAAGAAGAAAAATTTTACTTTAACACCAAATTTTCGTGAACATATTAAACAAAACTTGCAAAAATTTAAATAAACCGTATCAAAAAATTATAATTACTTATTTTATTCGAAGATACAAAATGTGGTACCAGATTTTTATTATCTATAATTATATAGATAATATCTCTTTTATATATACTATTATATATAAAAGAGATTTCCACCTATATTGACTCATCACGATATCTCTGGAACCATAAGGCGTAGCGACTTGAAATTTAGTAGGATTATTCCTTTCGCCAAGTAGAGGTCAGCTAAGAACGGTTTTACGAAACTACACCCACAAGGGGGGTTGCGGGGGGTAAACAATGACAAATACGGTTTCACGCCTAAACCACTGAACTGATTTTAAGAACTTTGGTACAGAGATGGAATTGACCTTGAGAAAGAACATAGGATAGTTTTTATTCCAGACTTTTGAAAGGTTCTCTTGGAAACGTGATATAACCGGACTCCACGCGGGCGAAGCTGCGGGCGGAAAGCTAGTTGAAAAGAAACAACTTTGAAAATTTTCATCAAAATAAACGGAATGTGTTTCAAATGTTTGAGATAATTTAATCTATTGAATGCCTGTATTAAATGAAATGTTTGAATAATCTACCCAATTACTAGAATTCTAAAACTTGTTGTTTAATTTGCATCCATAAATATCAATTCCATGACTTTATGTAATATCTTTAGTATTTTTATTTCCGATTATATTTTGGACATAAAATATTGCTTTAATTCAACTATATTACATGTTTCTGTTTTTAAAGTTATTAACATTAAAGTAATACTTTTTCTTCTCAGTCGCTATCACTCTTGACAGAGTGGTTGTGGTCATCCGTCTGGGTATTGATGGCTCTCTTGACAATTCGATGCCATTCCTCTTGAATTGATGCCTTCCTAAAACTAAAACTTACCTATTTATTAATAATCGTGAACATCAATTAACAAGAGCATATAGTTAGTATTAGTTAGGAGCGCGGTTTGAAAAAGAATTTACCAATATTGATGGTTAAAAATTGAAAGAAGAATAGAATAAAAATTAATTACATTTATGTTGACTGGAATAATATGACACGTGTATTGAGATTCTTATACATATATCCTTTATAAAGAGGGATTAAATGAGGGATCGAACGAAATAAAGTAAGACGCTATAGTAAGGTATTATGATAAACTATAATGAGATCTAAGACTTTCGTGAGTATTCATTTATATGAAACTAATATTTTACGGGCAGACGGTCATCTCGTCTGCCCGTGATCACGGTCGCTGAAAAGTAACCGAAAAGTATGTAGTTCTTAAAATTATAAAATACGCGTAGTATAGTCCGAATAATATTAGTTACATTTAAATGAATACTGACGAAAGTCTTAGAACTCATTATAGTTTAACATAATATCTTGTTATAGCGTCATACTTTATTGTGAACCAGTGAACCAGTACGGACTGGCAATCGCCAAAAAAATACGGCGGTTGGAGTACCTCAAGATGAAGAAAGCTAAATTATTAACATTCTGGAATTTCCTCAAGATGTTGAACTATAATTAATTATTTAATATTTTATAATTCAATTTTTTCATTGAAACAACTATCAATTATCTTTAAGATAATTTGTAATATAAACTCAATAATAATCTTTGTAATTGTATTTTATTTTATATTAATTAAAGTTAATGATCTGTATTGGAGTGACGCGTATTCCTTTTGAATAAATTAATAACTGTTTGATAAAAGTCCGACAAAGGTTTTGACGTCAATAACAAAGCGACAAAGGAGCCGTTTGTTGTATTCAATAAGTCCTTTGTTTGCATAATACATTTCATGACTGAATCCTTTTTGCTCAATTTCGATTTACCATTTGTTTGCCAGAAACGAAATTGTAAATTTTAATTTAACGAAATATTATAGTTAAAAAGTAAATGTAGCTTTATATGTTTATTTCTTAATTTTTATTTACTTTTTATCTACAAGGTTCATTCTATGATTTTCGTAAGTACACATAAAATTACACTATTTTTTTCAGATTTGAATACGTTATTTCATTTTAAATTTTCCGTACGTTTTAATTACTTTACAGCAACCATGGACAAGGGCATACGAGTTGTACTTATGAAAAATTAGAAGATTTTCCAAAATCATGGGTATTTTTGTATAATTTTTAGATTAAATGTACATATATATATATATGAAGTCAATTTTAATCGGGATTCTAATATATACTAAATTGAATTGAGGATTATACGTATATACATATACATATATATTGAAAGACCCAACAAATTCTTAAGTGATTGGCTATTTATTTTAAATCAATCGAGTATATCAAGTGGGAGTGTATTGCCAAATTCAAATAGCGGGAAGATGAAAAATTTTATCTTCTGATTTTGTTAAACATTTTTAACTTATCAACCATTTTAGCTTAGCTAATTTTAATATCTGATTTATTTTTAGCGTCTTCGTTAACAAGAAAACGACAATATAGTATTAAGAAAGCTAATTAATTTAATTAGAGAATCTGTACCCATTTATTTCTTGCTTTGGGTTTAAATGTAGAGCTACTTCGTATTTCTGAAACTCAAGTAGGATTTTGTAAATATAAAATATAAAAACAATTTCAAATGAGATAAAAGTTGAAAGTTAAGGGATAATTTTTTATGAAATCCTTTATTTATATACTTTTTTTAATATATGTTTATTCTCAAAATTAAATTGTGATACGGTCGCCATCCAGTAATATAAATAAGAATATACTCGTATTAAATCAGAAATATATGTATTAGTACTCTACTCTCAGCACTACCAAAAGAAATACAATCAATTCCTCCAGCTATTCGCTTATAAGAGAAAAAATCATTTCCAATTGTTATACTTATGGAATTGAATTACAAAAGTAAACTCAATGTAGCTCATAATATGAACTTTATTCAATTGAACTCAATTTAGAAACATATACATAATATATTACCTATTAAAAAGGGAGATTTTTATTTCAATCACCCTTACTTTTGGTTCAAATTTTCATCGTTTAAGATTTATAATATACTAGTTTTTGCCCGCGACTTCGTCCGCGTTAATTTCTGAATTAGTAATTTAATGTATAGTTGACCCGGCGAACTCTATTCCACCTTAGAGGCCTTAAATAACTCGATATTGGAGTTTATTTAGTTATTTTTCTGTTTCGACGAATAGAATTAAATATCTTATGTCCGTCTCCTGGTACTAAGCTATCTTCCTCCCAATTTTCAACTATATCTCAACAGCCTTTCTTGAGCTATAAATAGTGTAACCAACACGACTTTTTTATATACATATACATTTTAACTTATAAGTATTATTAACATAATATTTGATCAATGATTTTCAATCAATGTTGATCTTCAATGAAAGTGTAACTATTTCTATTTGATTTATCAGGCTACAAAATCAACAAACAGTCAAACAGCTGAGATATTTGCACCCATGCAGTATGAATATTTAAATGAAACTAATAGTTTCGAATTACTATAGTGTTAATATGATATTATTTTCGTTAATAGAACAATTTTATCCTACAAAAAGATAAAAACTACAACTTATCCAGACTCCTTTATCAATTTTCTATTTAATTTGTAAAATCATACAATACATAGCTACACACAGCAAAACTAAACCCCCATATCTTTTCACAGATCTGTTTCTAATTACTTAAGTTGTTCCCTTCTTATATATCATTTCAAATTTAATTTGTCTGTTTCAAATCACAAGGGAGTCATAGATATTGTAACTTCTGCTTCCCATCAATCCCGAGTAACTTTAAAATAACCATAGCTATTACAAAATGTTTGAAAGTGATGAAATCTCTATATATATAAAAAGTATTTTTTTGTATAAATTTGAAAACTTTTGTGCTCATTTTGTTACTTTTCCTTCCTTTTTTTTATTTGGAAACATGAAATTAATCATTATAAAGTGTTGAGGTCAAAAAAGACATAAAAAAAATTAAAAACACTTTTCAGTAATTGTTTATATAAAGTAAATATTGAAAATGTTTTGTGAAGATATGATAATAAATTTATGCGTGTGTTAGGGGAAAATGAAGTAAACTAAGTAAGCATTCCTAAAAGAGAGCCGCGTCATTATTGATTTCTTTAATCATGTGTGAGAATTTTTTTAGCTTTATGACTGAGCAATTATAATTATTCTAGATTTTAGTCCATAAAATTTGTTAAAATATATTCAAAAAAACATTTAAAATAAAGATAGACACAAAGACGTGAATGAAGAAACACTCAGTCAGACCTTTATAATTTCATACACGAATGGTAAGAGGTTTTACACTAAAAGTTATTCAAGAAAGTTTAAAACTGTTAACACCAAACAGCTCTTCAAACTATATAAAACATGAGACTCGATAGACTTTAGTGTAGTTCAAATAATTATAAAGTATTTATATTATCCACAAAGCGTTATAATTACATTTTTAAATGAATTTATACACCAGATAGACGTACTAAAATATTTTATAAAAGAAAACATTAAAATTGGAAATAATCAAATTAATCAATGACCGTTACATTATTACTATTCTGTTCTAGAAAGACCTATTTTTTTAATATTATAAATATTGTAATGTCACGCTCAACATTAAATCTTTTATTTTCAGGTTAGTAGGAGATGAAACTTCGAACGTGGCGCTGAAGGTGAAAACTAATGATGGCAGTGAACAGCCCGAGTGGGTATCCCCCACTTTCTCCAAAGCCACTAACTCCAAAAAGTCCTCGGCACTTTGTTTTTCCACAAAAGAGTCCTTCAATAACCTCTAGTACGTCATCCTCGGGGTATTACACGCCTCAGTCAGGTTGCAGTTACGATAAGCACGGTCCACCTAAAAGTCCTCTTGCTCATGGTCACCACAGTCCTGCCAGCCCCCGGCATTTTCACATTCCACAAGTTGCTGAATCACCATCACGTACAAGCCCAAGCAATTTCGAGCGTCCCCACCATGGTCTTCATTACACCACATCTCTGAAGCACAGCCGGCGAGAAAAGTCCAGATCCCCGAAGCCACCCCCCGTGCATATTCACACAAATCCGGGTTATGTATCCCCGAACCGAACAAGGAAGTTATTTAGCTCTACTTCCACAGTAAGCTCACCGCGAATGGTGACTTCACCGAGTATAATATCAAGTCACACTGATGATTCAACGGACGCTATGCCGGGAACGCCTTCAGCGATTGTCAATGATGCTGATGATGAAGCTACGGAGACTTCTTCTCGCATTTGCCGCAAGTCTACTTCGGATTTGACCGATTTAACTGACGATACCCCTCAAACTCGGTCTACGAGCATCAGTAGACCATGTTCACCAATGCGAAGAGGCTCAATGAAAGGCGGTTTAGCGTATTTGGCCAGCAGACGCGGTTCAAGAGAATCAACAATATCAAATTGTGATTCAGTAGAAGATATTGGCCCACTTAATTTTCAAAACACTATGCGCGGTCGACAGCGCCGGACTTCAAACTTTTTGGAATTACCAGGCGAGTCAAACTAATAATTACTTTAGCATATTAATTACTCTCACTTGACACTCTAATTATATTACCTAATTAACATGCAAAACCATCGCGGTCACTTCAGATCATCATAAAAGACAACCTAATCTATATAACAAAATTTTAGAACAACAAATGTGAATTTGAAAGGCGTTATATCAACATTTTATCTCGTATTACTAAGCAAAAAGAGATTTTTTCCCTTCTAAATAATTGTCACTCGATATTCATTCGTTATTCTTGCTATGAAATTTTAACACAAGTTTATGAACTTTATTTTAAATTTGATACTAACTTAAATGTATTCTTGGCTGTGTATAAATATTTTATGGCTTCACAAGTGAGCGAACGAGTTCAATGGTCTGTAATAGCATATCGAGTCAACAATGGCTAATACATAACTAAGGCATTCTACATATGAAGAAAATATAGGCTCTTTTATCGTGCAGATGTGACTAAAAATATATGTAGAGCATCTTTCTTTTAAACTTTTGCTGAACGTACATGATATACTCCAACTAAAGGAGTAAAAGATAAAATTGTTTACGCGTCTTTGTCGTTGTACTATCTTGTATTATATGTATGTTCAAGTGTTTCGAAAATATTTCAATATTTTTATCTATAACTTACATAAAATATGTATAATGTTATTGTTTTTATTATTATTGTATTAAAAATTTTAAAATTCAGTAAAGTATATAGCTTAATTAAATAAAATAAAAGTTAAAGCTGCGGCAGTAAAAATATGAGCGCGGTGCTGGTAATGGCTGCTTTTATCTGTCTGAGTATTGAGCTGGTTTTATATGCGTCGGATAATATTTTTCATAAGCACCTCCATTATATCAGGCATATTAAATATTTTAAGTTTGAAATAAAATAAGAACGATTTAACCGTGTTGCTAATGTACGATTGTACGTCATTTAATTAGTGTTGGTTGTGGCACTACAGAATATACAAATTAATTCGCAACTGTACTTTACAAAGAATTGTAAGTTTTTAAACATTAAAAAATCAAACACGGACTTCAAAAATGTAGTTAAGAACAATCAACAAAATTATTTATGCTAATATCTATATAATATCATAAATGGTAATTATGAAATTGATTAAATAGATAAGAAAGAACACCTGAGAGTGGTTTTTAAACTTTATTCACTACTTCTTTGAACAGCATTTACAAAGACCAAATACTTATTCTGACTTAATAAGATTTATACGCATAACTAATATAAAGCAGTATAATTTATCGAGTAAATTAGCTTGAATTGGAAACCGAATAGGATGCGATATTCCGGAAAACGTTGACTCGAAACCTGATATTATCTATGAGCGATGAGAATAACCATCAATAAGACATATTACATACAATTTCAATGTAAAAGCAGAGTATTTCACAGGCAGATTTAATTTAAATAAAATAAATAAATTAAGAAAATTACTAGATAAATACACACCGGTAAAACTCTGGTGTGTAATTATTATATACATTTTATTAAAGTACTAAAAATATCGGTTTTACTTTATGTACAATCAATATATCTATAAAACTCCAGTTTTTCGGTCTGTTAGGTTGGAAAACGAGACTCTGTAACGCTATCCTTAATTTTCTAGATGGAGGCCGATGAATTCATTTTATTTGTTTCTCTTCCTAAATATTTCTTTCATAGAATTTGTAATTCAAATTTAAAATAATATATATAATTGATTGAAATACATTTAATGGTTAATATTTTTCGTGGATGAGACTGATCTCACTAGCAGCATATTTAAGGTCCTTACCTTGTCGTGATAATATTGATTATAGCAATACGCCTATAAAATTTCATATGTATTTAAGCATTAAAATTCTATACGTTAATCTATCTATACAAAGACACAATAATAGTTTCATTACAATTTCCATTCATCCATAGAGCACAGACAATATCGCGAGAAATAGCTAATGTATACATACTTTAAATAAATATGAAATAAATTTTATTTAATACAGTCATGCCTGCTTTCAAAAGATCAAAATGTTTGTCATTATTTGAAATAGGATTAAATTAGGAGCTTAGTTGAGCGTTGCAAAGTTCCAAACGGAACATTTCTATTTTGAGATTAAATTAGACAATTTGCTTTTCTATTCAGTTTATTTTGTTTTGTTTGTTTACTGAATTTGTCTTGTAGTTTTTAGGTAAATGTTTGTTTTATTTTAGATGCATATAATTCTTTAACTCTTATTGTAGTAGAAAAATAAAAAATATTTTTACTATATTTTTGTCAGGGTAATTTAAGTTTTACAAACATTTTCGTACGTATGTAAATTTATTTTTTTATTCTAACTTACTTTATATGCTTAGCTATGGATCTCATAAAAACAATAAATGGGTTATGGGTAATGATTTTGTAATAATTTGTTAAATTGCTCGTATTTTTATTTTGTTGATTGCATAAATTCTTTCTAAATAATGATACATGATAACACTATCTGTGTTATAACCCACGAAATAAGCCTTTTTATATCTCAGTGATACAAAAACATTTATTCATATGAAATTTTTGTACACATAGAAATATTTCATAAAAAAAATCAAAATATTTATATTGTATTTGTTTATTAAAATAGCCGTTTTATAAGTATCTAAAAAATCGATAGTCCGTAAGTGAACACATACATAGTATAACACTTATATCCAATAAATCTCAGGCTCAAATCTTTCTAGGGTATATGAATAAAATTGTATATGATTGTCTGAAGCAATAAAAGATTAGGCATGGATGCAACATGTATCCCAATATAAGTTAATTCACAATTATAGTCACAAAATTATTAAATTGACATATAGCATAACAATTTTGATGCTAAATGGGTGAAAATTTTCAGTGGTCGAACATTCAAGACCTCGTGTATGTTCTCTACCGGAGAAGCCTTACAACCCTCGCTTATCAGATGACCTGTATAGACTTCGTACATTCTCCATCACAAACAAAGGGGGCGTTGTCAACTGTGGGGACTCAATCTGCAACAGACGCAGTCGATCTAATACATCTGTAAATTCTACTAATAGCCGGTAAGCTTAATAAAATAAATTCCTGGAAATAGTATTATTTCTTTTTAGTCTATATTCTCTCTCATATATGTTTGGAATATATAATAAATCAAATTGTAATGAAAATGTATGTAGTAAAGATTACGATTATAAGCGCAAGGATAAAGAAATATTTTTAAAGATCTTCATTTAATAACATATAAGATAAATAATATTAATGACCATAGAAATTATAATTTTAATGCACGTCAATTCCTAATTTATAATTCATCAAATATTGTTGATTAAATGTTCCACAAAATTACTGAGATTTTGTTTAAGATTCCGCCAGCCAAAAGATTCTAAGATATGGTTTATCTGTGAGAAAATTACCATCTGTTTGTATTGATAAAATGATCGCAAAACTTATGTAACAATCGGCTGAGTAGTTAAAGTATGAGAAGACAGTGATTATTATCTTTACATACTTCCCAAGAATTAAAAGTTTATAAATGTACTATTAAAAACCACTTCATCGACGAGATTTTTTTTTGACATAACCTAAACGTGGTTACAAATATCAAAATGTAACTCAAATATAATATTAGTAAAAATAAAGATAAAAACCAAAGTTGTCATCACAATTAAGTAAGTTATAGCTGACATTAATTAACCGAATAAAAATGATTGTACAGCAAAAGCTAATCTGATAATTATTTGGTGAGTGATCGTTATATTGCGTGACTAGACTACCATTGCAGTTGGAATCGTACAGTAAGATAGCCTTGCTTATTTTACCCTTAACAAGTGTTTTTAATCTAATCCAGGGCATTAACAGCAGGATTACATTGTAAATGGAAATAAAATAATTAAAACTGTTCAACAATATTATAATATATATTATTATCAAATAAAATCACACTTCAATAGCAATAATATTAAATATCCAAAAAGATCTTTCGTGTGACATAAACGAAATATATTTAATGGTAAATTATAACCGGGTATTGTGGTGCGAATTGGGAGAGGGCTATGTCCAGCAGTGGACCAAGATTGGCTAAATGAATGAATGAAATGTAAATTATAAGTAACTCTTATGAATAAAAAATCTAATTTGGCTAATCAAGACGGGAATACATTAGAGAAATATCAGTCGTATTGGGAGATTAAAATTTAAATATTATTATTATTATTAGTAGCGTTTACTTGGTGTTATTGATTAACCTTCTTCATCATCACCAGTGCATCAGACAGATCACCATTCGATGGCTCATGCTGTTCAGGATACCGGCCTGTGGACTCCGCCAGCCTTGATACACCTGATGAAGATGACCTTGATCCGGTATGATAAAGATTTAGCATACTTTGATGATAATTTTTAATTATTTATATAACTTCAGTGAAGTTTTCATCCGAATTATGTCAAGGTAAAATAGATAAAATAAATAATAAATTGCAGACCACCACAACCCCATGAAAAAATAGTATATTAAAAGTTTCCTTAATGAAAATTTTGTATAAAAATCCATTCTTTCTTTAGAGCATTAAAACTATTCTCGCTATTGTGAAACTTGGATTTGATAACAACAGAAGCGGTTTTTTTTTCAAACTCCGACTACAGACAAAAGGCTGTTGAGATAAAAGAAAATATTTCGCCTTTATTCATATTTCGAGAAGTTTTTTTTATAATATGGTTACATTATTTTTGCTTTTGTTTATTTTAATAATCGTGTTAATTTGTTAGAGATTCGAAAATTGTATTGTGTTTTTCTAAATATATATATATAATGTAACATTAATGAACACTCAAAAGAATTATATTGTTACTACATTTTATTGCTTCTTAATTAACTTTTATTGTCTCAATCATTGATAAATTAAACTTAATGAATCATATTACTTTATAAGAAAGTGTCGCCTTCGTCGTATATTTACGATGTATTTACCTCAAATAAACATTATAATTATATATTTTATATTGAACATATATCTTTAAACATGAACTATTCCATTTTCTCTGGCTATATTAGCTTATTCCACGATTTTCAAAGTTAAGTATTTAAATTTTCAAATCATAACTTCATATGACTTGTGTTATATCTGACAGAGCCTTTGTGTTTGTTTAGAATAGTTTAGCTACAATTTTTTTTTCTCTTTTTTAAATGTAACATATATTTTCAGATACCAAAGTATCGCGTTGTGTTGCTTGGTGACGCGGGTGTTGGTAAGACTGCTTTAGTCTCACAATTTATGACCTCAGAATACATGAACACCTACGACGCTAGTCTTGGTGAGTTGAACAAGTTATCAATGTTCATACTTCATATTAACATTGGATAGGGTTATCATCATGAAATTGATAATTCTATGAGAAATTATCAATTTTATTGATAATGATTTTAAAGCTAAATGTAGTTGATTAAGATAAATTTTAAGCTGTATCAAGTATACATAGTGTTACTGTAATAAAACAATTTTAATTTGAATACAAAAGCATGTTGCCTGAAATAGTTGTTAACGTATTTTTTCCTTATTTTATTTTAAAATATATAATTTGCTTTTAATGATAGTATTCAAGATAAAATATTTTAGATATTCACATTACTTTTTTTCAATACTTCTGGATTTACAGGTTTATAGTTGTTTTTTAAGTCAATTTTCTTATAATTATTATTTAAATATATCAGTTAATTAGTTTTCGCAAAATTTAATTCTTCTTCATTGTGTATATAATTACTTAATCTATTAAGAATTACTTTTTTAGACTAATCTATTCAAATATTTTAATCCTTTTTAAATTAAAATATAAATTTCAAGTCAAATGCTTTTATTCTATCATTGTATGTGAAAATGATGAGAAAAATAAGAATGGGTACTGCGATCAAAAATGTATATTAATAATCTTGTTTCTCATTACTAAAATAAATACGATACTTATTCTGTACAATACGGGGTGAACGTAATCTCTTACTTCGCATAATCAAACAAAAGTAAGCTTAGACTAATGAGATCTAAGACTCGTGAGTTTTATTCATACTTACCATACCATACCTATACTTTTACATTTTATTAACATATTTTACGCTATTGTAAGAATATCAATATTAATTTCAATGAAATGTGGTTCGTGTAATTGTAAACAGATTTAAGTATCTCAGTTTGTCTTCGTTATTAGTTCTCAACAAAATTTGTTTCTCACAAAATTGATTTTATTTAATTCCTGCATCCCCTTTCTATAAACGGACAACCAGAGTGGGCCTGAATCCTTTCATTGTAGATTTTCCTTGAACCCAGAAGAAACGATCCGTCTTCTTACTCCCTCATATAGATAGGATTACGTAAAGGATTGGATTCGTTTGTCTACGTTTGTGTTTCATTCGAATTTTAATTTGGGCTTTTTCAAGGAAAGGGTAAACATGCTATTAAAGAGGTAGTGCATTCACAACCTACGACTTCATTTCTACGATCCCACGCGTGTAATGTCAGCCAAGCACTATCAACCAATAAAAAAGAAACAGTCAGAGACCCCATCGACGAAAATATATATATATATATATATATATATATATATATATATATATATATATATATATATATATATATATAGTAATGACCCTTCTATAATATCATAAACAAAGAAAAAATACTAAAAATAATAGTCATTTTAATAATGATAAAACAAAACATTTCGAACTTTAGAACATAAAAGGAGCATTGGTCGATTGTTAGCTTGAGGCTTTTAATTACATTACAAATAAAATTATACATTTATATAACTTCAATCAGCTCCGATATAATGTCTTCCAATTCATAACACGTAAAAGAAAAAAATCGATCAAATAAACTAAAATTGCAATCACACAAAAACAAGTAGAACAATATCATATGTCATATATAACAAATGACTTCACTTCTAGCGGAAAAAACATATACAGTAGGTTAGTACTAGTGTGTACAGTAAACGTATATATGCCTGTTAGATTATACCAACGGCCAATTTTGAGGAATAAGTACTACAGGTAAGTAAAATCTGTACTCACTTTACTTATAGTTTGAGGTCTGATTTTTACATATGGTGCAGGAATTATAATTAACAATTTAAAATTAATACTGTCACACACACCTTCTTTCAGCAAAGTTTTTTTAACAAAATGGAACCTGGGATTTTGGATTCAACATTGGACAAATAAAACATATGTATATTATATTTCCTTCGTTTCCCCCGCGGCAGGAAGTCTTTAAAAGATTCCCCTCGTAGAAAAAAAAATGTATATTATATTTTATATTTATACCAAGTTTTTATATCTATCATTTTTTTAGGTAAGGTGGAATATTAATTACTGTTTGCTTAACCTTCTTAACAGGGTGGTGACAGGTTACTTTTCGTAATTATTTACATCGAATGTGTTAAAAAAACATTGTCGTGTCATTGTATATAAAACAAGTTTGATGTCTTTTAAATTCAATGTCACTAGATATTAGTTTACTTTTAGTAAAAAACGTTGACGTCCATTAAAGGCATGATGACTTTAACGTAACACATACATTTTTAGTGATAACCAGTTTTGTACCATTTAACACATGAGATTAAAATTTATAATATTATTCCATATGTACAATGGATTAATTTATATCATTTAATATTTTAATGGTATATGAAGGTCTAAAGTTCATAGTCATTGAGTTAGTAATATTATGACTAATAATTACGTATAGTATTCTGTAGCCAGTACTGATATTTGCTTAACATATATGTATATATGTAATTACACAAAGAAACATAACTTTGTTTTTATCCATATTGTTTTTGATAATTTTATTGTCAATTTGATCTCATTATTAATGATTTGTCAAGATCTGTTGATTTTACACATAAATAATGACACTGATCTCAGTGTATATATCTATATAAAAGCTTTTCTTTCTCTTTTTTAAATAGATCTAAAATAATTACATATTATAAAACGTATTTCAAAAGGAATCGTATATGTATATAGTGAGTATCTCTCTTATGTTATTTTAAAATGTATGTCATTCGCTTTTAATAATTAATCAGGCATTTGATCAGCATAATTAATGTAGTGGTTAAACTGATCATTTCTATGGATTGACTTGAGTATTAGTGAGTGGGTTTCGAAGAGTATGCTGAAAATTCTGCAGATATTTTATAAAAAAAAACAGCTTTACTGCACACTAATCATCTTGAAATAATGTTGTTACAAAAAATATTAATTCGATATTGAAATAGTTATCCGAAAAACTTAAACTCGACAGCAAAAGTTCCTCTAAAACATTTTTTATCATAGCTTCAAAGATACATCCACACAGTTCTTTGGCTTATTAAACTTAGAAGTAGGTATATTTCGTAAAATGTATGAGGTCATGATCATTACCTGTACTAAATATTTCGTATACCCCGGCCTTTTATAACCACTTTTCAACTTTGACGTTTAAAGTTTGTTTTACTTCAAATATCAAACAATTCTAATTGTTTGTTTAATGTTTTCGCGTCCGAAATCGCTGACATTGTTTTAATTGGTTCTCCTGTTATCTGTAAGTTTAATAATCTTTTGAACCTTTAATTAATATTGAGATTCTTTTTTTATATTTTTAAACATAAATCTCTTTGATGGCTGAACTCAGCGATCGCGAAAAAGAGATTACAAACTAAGGCTTTTAATGCTGATTTTTATTAAAAAACTTGATTTTATTCATCTTTGGGCTTATGTATTAATTTCAGTAAAAGCACATTTCTTTTTGAGACCTCAAATAAATACTTGAGGTATAAAAAAAATATGTCTCAATATTTGCTTTTCAATTCAATTTTCATTAAATATATTATTGTTGTAAAATATATTTTTATGCTAACCTAATAATGACTGTTAAAAATGAAACCATTTTCTGTTATCGATTATTAGTAATCAGATTTCTATAAAACTCTAAATTCATATTATCTTATAGATTAATCATGTATCTTATTGACGGGCCTTTTGTTTAACAACAACTTTGAACTGTAAATCCAGAATAATTTTAATATTAAATCTGTTACTTAAACGAGAATATATAGAAATACAAATCAAACGAAATGAAAAAACAATTATTTCAAACTTTAAAGCCATAATAATTCTTTCATGAGATATGTTCTTGAATCTACAAAATTCTGAAAATAATTTAGCTTTATAGTTATGTAAACTGAAATTACAAAATGAATATTTTTTTGACTCTCACCGAAAAAATTAATATCAGATTTAGAATAATTTTAAACTGACGTTTGAAAGCTTAATTAGCTTCTGGTTGTGTTTGTATTGGCTTGAACGCGTAGTTCCTATAATAGTGTATAGTATTTTGTATGGCTGCCGATGCTCTTGTAAATAACAATACTTCTTTTTACTTGCTAACTTGGTGAAGCTAAACGTGGTAAGTTCACTTTCCCTATAGATGTACGCTTGTTTCTACACCAGTTGTTAAGTTAATACTTGATCCTTTTTATATTTGGTTGCCAGTTGTTCTGTAGAACTTTCATTAAGTTTTATTTGTTGGCAGTTTTGTAGACATAACTACATTGTAATAACTTAGCGTTGCTAGGGTTGGCATAATCTAATCCGTTATAATAAGAAAGTTTACGTGTCACCCCTTACAGCTACTGAAATATTGAACAAATGTTGCTATATACGCTAATATTTAAATCATCGACATTTTGAAAAGGTTTGTATATTTTATAACGTAATTATAAAACTGTTTGACAAAACTTTGATTTACGAATATACTTAAACGCATTTATTATTTTATTTATCATTTTACTCGACCTGTCAATTATTTGACAGCAACCGTGACGATATAATAAATATGTAGTGAGACTAACTGACAGACACTTTCATCTCTGCCCGTTATCATTATTGCTATAAAGTCAACTAATAATTGTTATTCGATAAATTATTAAATAAGTCAATTCTATTATATTAATTTATTAATTGTTATATAATATAAGTAGTATAATTTTTACCTTAATATATATTCTGCAGTTAATAAATACAAAACTGCCAACGTCATTATATCCGCTTTCCATATATTCCGTTCAGGGTTTTCGTTTGTGAGGCACAAAGGGCCTATTAGCCCTACTCAGATAAAAGTGGCCCCATTATTATATGCCGTATTTGTTTCGAAGACCGTTATACTTCAGAAGTAATATTTTTCTCGCTCAATGAGTAACACATATTTCATATTAATTTTGAATAATCATCCTTTCTATGGATGATTATTATAATAATCTGAAACAGAAAATAACTAAGAGATTCATAGACATAGTCCGAAAATAATGGCTATTGTTCTAGCTGCAGTTGTTATAATTGCCCCTTCTGTGAATTTTTCTAGATAATTTTCAAAATATTTCACAAGGAAGTAATATTAACCAATGCAAATGCTTTTAAATCAACAAGAAAATTTGAAATAATTTCATAGTATTCACGCTTAGCTGTGGTCGTCAATTCCAGGAAAATTTCAGAGAAATATCAAGACCACATCCCGAAACAAGAGTTCCAAATAAAATGTGATATATTTAGAGTTAGATTCGTTGAAATATTTTCCTTTTTTACTGTTCATCGTAAGGCTTTCGATTTTGCAAACTAGAGTAGCAAGCACCTCATTAGAGGTGGACTAATTAGTGGAGCGAGGTAAGAGTGCTTGATTTTGTGGTACAATATTCATGCTTTGGAAAACAGGACCTATTTCGGATAATATTTCATATCCTTTTAATTCTTACAATATTATAAAAATAAATGGATATTGGTTACCATTTTACACAAAAACTACGGATAAGATTAAAAATAATAGCTTTAATGAAATATATTATCGTATTTTATATATACCGAAAACAATTTGATTGTTCAGAAGAAAAACAAAAGAATTTTAGAGTACGCTTTCATTGTAAAATAACTGATTTTAGGACATACAAATAAAAAATTAATCCATTTATAATTTTTATTATAAGTAGTATTTATAACATAAATTGTTCAAGTATTTTTTGCATACATTTGCTAATTTATTATGCTGATTAGGTTAAATCATTACCTCAAATTTTGATTAATGAACACCAACTCGAACGTGTGCGGTCTTACAGTAATTAATACTTAATAAACCACTCCGGGTTTAGCTACTTTGTAATTTGCGGAGTTTGTTTCATTCGTAGATTTTTACGTAAATGTGTTCCTATAGAACATGAATAATGTATTAGATTAATAATTAATATGTCAAAGTTGAATCATGTCTATTGTTACTTTTAATTTATTCCTGTTGGTTGAAAGTAATTTATGTTATGTTGTGACCGCAAATTAAAGCAGAAATATTTTTATTGTATAAACTTTTGCTAATCTTTATTAAATTATATGTTGAATATTCTTAAAATTTAAAATAATTGTTAACATTATATGTCTCAACGCCCCAAAATTTTCCCATTTTTTTTAACAATGAACGCTTTAAAATTTAAATGAAAATGAATGCTTGCTATAAATCTTATTATGTATGTGATTTGTTGATGTGTCATTTGGGTGTATTTAAGCCATGCTTGTTAAAAACCTCGTTATAAAAGTGGAGTATGTTTTGTGTATTCAAATAAATGTTTGTTTGAGACTCATTATGAATGTGAACTGTGAATGAAATATGTGGGGCTGTTGAGAGTTATACTTCTAAAGATTACCTTGTGGAATTGGAGTGTAAAAGTATTTTGTGAGTATTTGCAGAGCTGTACCAGTAAGAATTCATAATTATTCTAATTAAATAAAGTCTAAATTTGTCATGTTATTTTGGTCAGAACATGAATACTGACTACCTTAGACTACTTAGGGATAGATAGACTACGAATATATTGTCAAAGAGCTAGTGTGTGGGTGTGTCATAATTTTCGGCATCGTAGTTATGAATGTAGAGTGTAAATGTATCAGGCTTGTGTACGAGCATGAACTAGTAAGCGTTATGTAGTTGTATATTGAGCTATGTTTGTTACAGATGATGAATTTGGTGAAAAGTCGGTGTCTGTGCTATTGGATGGAGAGGAATCGGAACTTATATTCATTGATCATCCCAGCACAGAAATGTCGGTAAGTTTTTTTCTATTAAGACTATATGTATGTCTGTCTATTTTAAATGGCACCAGGTTTTTATTCACTCTTACAAAAATTTTGTACGAATAATTTGACGGAAGCTAATTCTTTACGCTCTATGCTCATTCGAAATGATGTACTGCGGCTTGACTCGGAGCGGGATGGGTACGGGGAGTTTTTAGACAGTAGTCTGACACTCCCACTTGCACATTCAGGACAACAGGTTTCATGTGATAATTTTACCTTTTAAAAAAAGCTAATTATCTATATCAGATACTGTAAACAAAAAAGTTGAGTTTTATTACATTTTATGTAAAGAAGGTTGCGATAAACCTTATAATACGAAGTTGCGAGTAAAAATTTGTTTATAGATAAAATGACCTTAATAGAAGAGGTTCTTTTTGTAATGGCTGTAATTTTTTCACGCACTTATATTAAGCAAATTTTTATTGAATTTTGTATAATTATCTCTGAATATCAGGATCACCAGGTCTGGATACCATTTATTACAGGAAAACGTCTAATTTTCCAGCAAAACGAGTTTTTGAAACCATGCGTTGGTGTATTTGTTTCTGTATAAAATTATCTTTCAATTAGGATTTGTACACCCACGTTCAAAATTTAAGCAAACACAGGTTACTCCAAATAAAATTAAATTTAAGGGGATAACTTATTAATAGGTATTTTTTAAATTTTAAAACAGGGGAAAGTTCATTAACAATAACAATGTGATCGCGTTTTAATTAGAGATAAATTAATTAATTGTTTATTTATCATATAATTATTCTAATTAATTAATTAAAATTTGTTAGAGAACTGAAAATTGATGTATCCTTGGATATTTTTTATTTTATTTTCTATACTCTGAAATTCACAAACTTCATTTGACCGTCATGAAACACTATGAAAATACAATACTTGAAATCATTTAGTTAAGTAAATGTAATATATTTTTGTCTTAATATATTTTCGTGTGTATTCAAGTAAAGAGGAAAGTAAATAAATTTATCTTGGATTGACCTCGATGTGTCGTTTGTACAATGTATTAGCATAACAACAATGGTTTAAGAAAGAATAGTATATTTTATATAACGCCAATATTCTTAGGATTTTTTAATACTACATTATAATTCTCTGTTTTGTAATAAAAAAAATACTATACAAGGGATAATGTTTATTAGTTTGCCTTTAGTTAAGTAGAGTTTTACAAATCTTCTTACCGCATAATTAAAATTTTGTTATCAAAATTTCGTTAGTAAAGTATTCATAATTAATCTGAAAGTGTTAGCAAGATATTACATTATGATTTAATAAATATTGGGAAGGTTTCTAAAGTATTTTGTCTTTTTAACAATAACTTTTTTTCTCCTAATCTTGTTTCGTCAACACCTGATTGATACATTCTAAAATTTTTTTAATCGTAAAAGAAAATAAATTATCTTAAAAGTCAAATTATACGTCAAATTACATCCTAATTGCTTTCAAATTTAGGGAATAGTAAATCGGATAGTGTAAGATTTAGTGGTTAAAGGAAAGGTTTAACACTTTGAAACCTCAGTAAACTTAATAGATGTTGTTCACATTGGTATAATCTTGATGGAAAAGCCCTTCTTTTTGAAAATACCTGCTCATTTCTACTTCAAAAATATAAACAAAAATAATATAACACCTATTTCTTGCACGATAGGTTGAAAATTGCTTATCAACGTACGAGCCGCATGCATGCGTCGTGGTTTACTCCGTAGTAGCCAAGAGCTCATTCATAAGAGCTGGAGAACTATTATCATATCTTGCCAGAGAACAGTTCACTGTTGATAGAACAGCTGTTCTGGTTGGAAATAAGGCGGACCTGGCTAGAGCTAGACAAGTATCTACCAACGGTGAGTGCAAATAGATCGAAATCACTTTATATCCTTTACATTACCTTTGAAATAAATATCATTTCTTTTTCATATGACAAATCCTCATATGATATTTTTAAACCTTAATCCATCATGTGGGTAACATCGCTCTCACAATTGAATACAGAATAGGTTCTTAATCCGGGATATATATATGTTCTAACTATAATTAAACCGACAGAGGGTAAGGCACTGGCCACATCCAAGGACAGCAAATTTATAGAAACTTCGTCTGGAATACAACACAATGTCGATGAACTACTGGTTGGTATCCTGAAACAAATACGCTTAAAGGAAAGTCGGGACAAAAAGCAAGCGAAGAAGAACAATAAGCAGGTATAAATTTTTAACTTTTCTACTTCATGTTTGATTAGAAACATATTATACTTATTAAATTTATGCTTTTTCATATTTAATCGAATGAAATAATTTATGTTTTCTTATTTACGAACAAACCAATTACTTAATAATTTTCATAGGAAATCTGATCAAAACGTTAATTTACAACACAATGCATAACGCAAAAGCTATTTAGTTTCACAATTAATTTTAGTCAAATTCGATCAAAGTGGATTAAAATTCACGGAGAGGTTGTATCAAAGGCTTCGCCGTCTCTTTTGTTTAGTCTGGGAATATTTCCGAGTCATTTTGTTAATTGAATTTTGCTCGGAAAGTTCTAGATGTTTTGATGTCGTATTTAACATTTATCATCAATACTTTAACTTATTACCAGAGTTACGTTTGATCGATGAATGTTCCTACAAAGCTTCAGATAGAAATATAAATCAATGTTAATAAATAAAATTGGTTATTAGGGAAGATTATTCGACAATTTATAGCTCAAATTAAAATCATTAGTTAGTGATTTACAACTAAAAAAGGGAAGAATAGTGATTCACAAATACTTAAATCAAAAATTGTAATAGTTAGTTATGTTCAAATGTTCAAAGGTTACAATAATGTATATAGATATGAATCTATTAGATATTCTAATTTAATCTAATGGATGACAAAGTTTGTAGTCAGCAATTAACTTACTAGTAAATGGACTTAGATCTCGATTGTTATTTGTTTAATACTCAGTAAACGAGGTATGGTTAACTTCGGAAGTTAGTGATGAATAAGGCTTTGAGGCAATTAATCTGAACGCCTCGGCTTATAACTTCGAAATTGTGAAACAATATTCATATATGTATTTATAGTATAGTATAGATATAGTAAATATTCTTCTTTCTTTTATCACTGCATATAGTTTTGGTAATATTTTTCATTTAGTTTAATATTATTTTTGTTAAAACTAAAGTCTCTTATATCTTTATATTTTTTTGATTGTTAGTTAAGTCGAAGTTCAATATATCGGATAAAATGTAACTAAAGATTAATTCCTTCATTATTTATTTTCACTTTCAAGATACATTTTCAATCATTTAAAATAATTTCTAATCTCAATATCATGCCCGCTTCTATCATTCATTTATTCAATGAATTAAATTGTACCTAAATTAATGACACTACTTTTCATGTTATTAGTTATCATTTAATAATAACTGAATACTTTTACGATTGTATTTGTAGTAAACTACATTTTTGTTTCGCTGAAATTTCAAAGTGTATATGTTCCTTGAATATATTTGCAAACAACGCCTATATATAAGAAGAAATTAATTTTAAACAGGAATCCAAACCATCTAAGCTGGCGAGCTCACGAACCCACATTTCTCTCAGCATCGCGCGGGAATTACTACAGAAGATCTGCATAAACGACATATCGAAGTCAAAATCTTGTGAAAATCTGCACGTTTTGTAATTCGCTACCTACTAAGTGTTGGAATATTTGTGATCTTACTAGTCACTTATATCTTTACTTTTACACCTATTTTCTGTGTTAAGTTAGTTTTTTATGTAATTTCGTACAAATACACATACTTTTAAGTTTAGTTATACCTTTTATTATCTTTATTATAAAGTTAAGTTTGTTAATCTTATACCTTTACATATACTTTAGAAATAATTTGATACTATCAACACAATATACACTATAGTTTAAATAAATATAACTTCTACTAGAAGCCAAAACTCTTTTCTTTATATAAATGAAAGATATATTATTAAATTGATGTTCTCTTTAATCAACATATATTTCTTTTTAAATTTGTCATGTTTCACAGATTATATAAACAATTATAAACAATTATAGTGTGTGGAATAATAATGCTTTTATCATACCAGGGTCTCATCGTGGTTTTTGCATAAAATATTTGTGGCTATACCTAAAATATATACTAAAATTATATCATAAAATTAAGTGAAGCTGTTACGTCTTTATACATGTAGTTTGTTATAAAATATAAATTACGCCTTTATCACTATATTCTTAAGGCCTGATATACAATATTGATTAAAATTTATTCTTAGACTCTCTAGACAAATGAGAAAATAACTCTTCTAATAAACTATATAATAGATTATTATACATACAGATACACCTGGTTTTTCATGTAATAATAATTGTTTTCAAAACTAGAGCTTCCCTATTTGATGTATCATTCATTAACTGTTGATGAAATTACTTATACATACACACATATTATATTTAATTGGTTTGAAAACATAAAAAATAGTATGGATTTTATATTTTTTTCGTCCTCACATGTAAAGTATTAATTTTTCATATGAGCGAAAATATTAATATATATTTGATTGAGAGAAAACTTTGTGAATATGAAACATATATTGTAATGGATTCCTATTGAATGCGGCAATGAATAGCATGTTGTGATCTTCATCATCAGAAATTCGTATTGTATTTGCTATTTTTATGTATGATTAATTATTAATACATTTCATTTTTCCAGACAGAACACTAATAAAAAAGAATGTTATAATATTTATTTATACGTATTTCATATTTATTTTATTTAACATTTAATTCTTTACAATGAGCGCATTCTATAAAAGCAAGCGATTTTGGATCGGTGATTTTAGATCCCGTTATGAAAGAGTTATAGAGTAATCATCTTTACAATTAATGGTATATGTTCATTTAACATTTATATCTACATATATCTTATATATAAAATTCTCGTGTCGCGGTGTTAGACAGAGAACTCCTCCGAAACGGCTGGACCGAGTTAAATAAAATTTTGTAAGTATATTGAGTAGGTCTGAGAATCTACCAACATGTATTTTTCATACCCCTAAGTCATAAGGGTTGTTCAAACTTAATTTTTTTTTCGGACGATTTTTTGTTTTCCTTTTTTATAATGTAGCATTAAAGAATACATACAACCCAAAATTTTATAAAAACCAACCCCTTTTTTTATGGCAAAACAACGTTTGCGGAATCAGCTAGTATTATTATATAATTTCCTTAATATAAATCAAATCTCATCTCCGTATACATATACCGTATACATATTAAATCTGCTAATGAATTCTACAACTACAAAGTGACAAATGGTTATTCAATGCATATTATTCTAGATAATTAATAATTAACATAAACAAACAGCTTAATTGATGTCTAATCATAATGAATTCAAATATCTGTTATGGAGTAAAATCTAGTTTAGATATTGTATCAAATGACGAAGAAGCTTCAGTTGACTGGAAATTTGCATAGAAATTATTAATTTAAAAGAAAACCAACATAATATTTTTTGTTGTCTTTATTTTTTGTTGCAAAATTTCATGTCGCAAAATAATATACGTAATAGTTATTTTATTATATTAAGATTATTATTTATCTTAAGGACTTCTCAATAAGGGGTATACCATTATAAAATCTGTTATTCTGAATCATCAAAATGTAAGTATATATATATATATATATATATATATATATATATATCAATTATTTAATCAGTTGTTTATTTTCATAGGCTTAACTTTTTGTTTCCAACTAATTTTACTATTATTTGCTAAGCAACCTTTGTCAATATATTCTTTTATTAAAACGTTATATGTATTAGTGCATTTAAAAACTAAATATATGAATTAAGATATAACATATTACTTATATACTTGGTTCTCTAAAAAATAATATTTAAAGGGTATACTATATTGTAAACAATTTTTGTGAACAACAAAATATACACAAAATTAATTGCTTATTTCTTTTTTCCATGAATATTAAAAGAAATGTTATTTGTCATTTAAATAGGAGTAGCCGTTTATGAATAAGAATAAAAATGTTTATTTAGTCTGTATTTTAATCAAAAATAATCAAATGTTAGTGTTTAGAATTGACCAGTAAAAAGTGTAGTTCAAGTCATATCTGGATTGAAACCGACTTCAAGAGGTCGTTCTCAATTATGTAGTGAACTATTTTGTATAATTTTTCCGTATCTTAGTTATTCAAGCTTTAATAAATTAACACTCAGTCAAAATGTAGTTTTACCCTCCTTTGTAACTCCATAATTTTTTTCTCTTTGCAACATATTTTAAACAAAACCTCCTTTGAAGTCGGTTATTTTTTATTTTAAAGAATGTCTTTAAACAATAAAAAAAAATTGTTGTTAGCTCTACATATGTATTTAGTAAATGTCAGTATTAAGTAAAGAAAAAAATATACGCTTGATATATCAGAAGTATTTATTGTAAGTCGATGTTAAAATTAGAGGACTATATTTTTCTATGTAAAACTTTCGAAGATTTTTATATCTCATCTCTGTTAAAATTCATTATGTAGTATTTATATTTCTTGAATGTACGTACTCCTATATTCTTTAGTAATTTTATACATATTTTTCTTTCGAAAGACAATTAATTGTCAATATGTAGGTATTATGACATGACATGTAGGTATTATTAAGTAGAAAGGATGGTTTTTGAAATTTACATGTTGCTAAAATTTTCATAACATTATTCCTTTTATTCATTATTATTTCGGAATGTAAAGCTAGCCTAAGGCAACATAACTTTGTGAAACTCTGATGTTTACTTTCAAATAATCCTTTTGCTTTTATGAAAGAAAAAATACCGTGAATTTTTTTAATTAACTTGGTATTTAAGGAAAACAATGATGATTTTGGATTTTTTTCTTGCTTATTTATGTATTAAAAATGTGATTCTCAATTGAACTCGTATGTTTTTTACTTGTGTTACTTCTAGCAGATATAATGCGATTTTATTAATACTTCTTTTGTTGGAGAGGATGTTTTGTACCGTCTCGTATACATTCGGTAAAATTACCCTGAATATAATTGGATTTAACAACTACATTAACATTGCCATACAATGTTCCTTTAAAAAATATATTTGGAACAATATAATTTGTTTATAATTTTTACTTAATACTTCTTCTATTATTAAGTATGAAACATCACTCTTTACAAATTAAGAAATATGCTTATAATTTGGGGAATAAATTAATTTGGAAACTATGAGTTCTCTTCAATTATTCACAACTCAGTATGATTACTCCAAGTCTGCATCGTCACACTTCATATGAAGCGTTAAAAAGAATCATTTAGAAATTTCAAAGGTATGGAAAACTTCATGTGTGGTATGGCGATACAAACTTATACTAAATATATTAATAACTAACTTCCTTGTAACTTATACTATCTTTATATTAATTGTAGATCTTTTTGTACTTTACATATTAATATTTCTTTATATATATATGTATATTGTTGATTCTTAAATATTTCTAAAACGTCTAAAGTCTGAGCCTTCTAGCGTAATTAGTTCTAAGATCTTATAGTACTATAGTTTTTCACGTTAGTCATATGTTACAGTTTTCGGTGTTGTTTTTTTTGTCAACTCTTTATGTGATTAAATAGTTGCAAATAAAGTATTTAACATTGATTTGATTTTTATTTCATTGTAACAAATACCGCAATATATAGAAATCGCTTGTCATAATTATAAATTCGTTTATTGATTTAAAAATGTACGCCTAATATAAAAATCGTATAATCCTTGTGATTATTAAATGGTAACATTGAAATTGTTTTTTCATAATGAAATAACACAATAATAAAACCGTATCCAAATAAGATATTTAAGCTAACTTGAATTACGATATCTAAAACCGAAATTTCTAACATCTTATTAACCATTCAGGAATAAATCCTTTAGTTAATAATATAAGAAATATCAGTACAAACCGACAATACGTTTACACGTTATACGTTTGAAACAAGAAACTTTACACACCCATCGTCTATTCTTCAAAAGAAACGCCTAACACGGTTCAAACTTTTCTTTGACCATTTCGATTTCTTACAAGAGCTCTCCATTAAAATATTTGAGAACGAAATAAAGTTTTCAATACAAGCCAGGTTATACATTTTTTTATTATCACAGTGGATTCAATGAGAAAATACTAGGTTATATTCAATAAAGTTACCTTATCAAATAACACAAGGCATCAAAAGACCGTTCTAAGTGCTTGTCTTCCTCTTAACAAATACATTACCTTGCCAAATCAAATTGGCTATTTCCATTAAACGCAAAGCCTTCGCGTTTATTTATCATGATCTGTTATGGAAAAATGTACCCTAAAAGTTTACCATAAGGTCTGTTTAACAATAGGATCTGTAATATTTAAGGCGTTTCTTTGGGGATCCCTTTGTTTTGAATATTTAACCGCCTGTTACCTTTAATTCAGCTTCGTGAATAAGCCAAGAACGCGCCATAAAATATGGACATGGTTGTTGCAAATGTGACTTTATTATATAAATATAAGTTCCAAATTCTATTTTCATTTTCTAGAGTAATTGTTAAGATGTACACGAGGTGGACAAAGGCCTTGAAAATTTATTATTCATATATGAAACAAGAAAATCAGCAGAAAAATTTTGTGTAGCTAATCTTCTATAATATTATTTTTCATGACATGAGCTTAGAGTATGAAAATATATACGTTTGAAGCCTAATTATCTTCAAATAATATCGTATATTTATAGAAATATCAATCTTTTTAGAGTACTATAAATTAAAAGTTAGTTTATCTGTCATTTATATAGACTTTCAATAAAACGTATCCACATATTTACAAAAATACCAATTTTAGGAACTCATGAAAATCTATAAATATCAAAAGTTAAATCGCCAGAATATTATTTAAATTCAGATAAAAATTAAATCTGTCAGACGTGCCTTTGTCCTGTCAAAATGTCTTTTCAAAGATAATAGTGATTTCAATTTCTGTCTATGTGGACATAATTTAAAAGTTTAAAAGATATCTTCGATAGATGATTTGAGTTAATTAATTTTGTAGACTGTTATATCTATTGGGTAACACGAGTCTTTGTGAGTCTTGTCATGGCGAGCCAAGCTCAAGATTAGGATATACGAGGATAATGAGATCTAAGACACTCGCGAGTATTCATTTATACGAGTCTGTTGGACCTACTTGTTTATTTAACGTAAAATATGTCCACATTAATACTGTGAGTCTCTAAGGTTGACATTTTTTTTTAAATTTTGTTGACCAGTACCGAACACACCTTTTAAAGCCGTTACATTACATTACACCAAAATGCTGGCAGAATATTTCAAATACATATATGTACTTCAAATTTCATTTCGTTATAGACCACTTCACAAGATTGAAACTCACTGGTTGAAGGAGTGAAATATAAATATTACGAAGACAGCTCTAAAATGAAAAGATGCAGCTTCTCTAGCGATCCACTATCGATTTTTCAATTACTAAAAAGTATTGCAAGGACGCTGTTGAGAAATACTTAATATTAAATAGTTCCACTGATATCTGAAATTTATAGTACAGTAGTTTTCAAAGAATTTAAAAGGCAAGAAAATTTCCATGAATTAAATTGGTCGTTTACATTAAAATTCAAAGAACATTATCATAACGTTACCTTGACCTTTCAAAGATAGCTGAGATGAAGACATCGACTTTACTATTAATTAATGTATAATTAATTTACTTCTTTCTATAGTACTAATAAAATATTATATTTTTTAAGTAATACTTTAAATAAAATTTTGCAGTAAAGATAAAATTCGTATGTAATTTTAGTTCATAATGACAAGCTACCTGATAATATGAAGTCTATCAGTAAATTAATAATAAATTGATTCGATTTTGTGTCTTTTGTAACAAGGCAAAGTTTCCCTGAAGTTATATTTAACAAAGATATAACGGATGTAAAAGTTTTGTTATAGACATAGCCAATCTCAATTATATCAAACGAATTACATTAATTCTCAGTAATTACTTACAAAACAACAACTTGATAAACGAGATTGGTTCTATAAGAAAGATTGGGTTAAAAATATATAATAAATATCACTATGAACTAATATTAATTAATAACACAAATTAATAAAATGATTATAATTTATTTTGTTTGTCTAATAATTGGTTGACAGGAAGAAAATTAGAGAAAATATATTTTATATTGTACGGTTGACATAAGTATTAAGTATGCTTTCCTGAGAGTTAGCCACAGAGTGGTCTATGTGGCCATTTTGAAATGTAATCACTTGGTTATCATTAGTTCATATGTGAAAAGAAGAATCATTTGGGATTCTCTAAATAAAGAGGACTTAAGGCTTCTAAAACTATCGATAGCCGCAGTTTTTAAGGCATCTTCACGTCGTTCTTCTAAATGTCGTAGTTTTAACCCAACCACGATAATTGAAATATAAATAAGTTCATTGATGTGACGTCAATGGACATTACAATACATTTATTTTATTTTATTTTTTGGTAATCCAACAGTTTTTATATATAAGTTTCTATATTAACTATTATATAACATACACTTAAAACCAAAATAGGATAACACAGGTAACTTAAACATATTAATAACTAGAAGATGATAGCATAAAAGTAAAACTTATAGTATAAAAGTAATATAAAGGTAAAACTGTTTACCGGTGGGAATCCAATAGGTGTGTGTGTGTGTGTGTGTCTGTATGTATGTGTGTTGTTATGAATTTTTATCTTTTATAATTATAGCTTTTTTAAAAGCTAGTTTTGACATGCTGAACAGATCAATTTCTGAGTATTTTGAATTATATATGTGGACCATGCGATTAAGGACAGAGTTGTGTGCATAGTTTGTGTTTAGCTCAAGCGTGTGGAATAGTGCTGTATGACGTGTGTGGTGATTATAGGCCAGTGCAGATGCCTCTAAAAATAATGAAAAGTGAAAATAAATTATAGTAGAATGAAACCTCGATAGCGTTTGGAAAATGCTTTTTCAATTTATTTTTAATTCTTTTAGCAGTTTAATGTCAATTTTCTGTAAATTACCTAAAAGAGGGATTATTTGGAGAACTTCAAGAGTAAACAACTATAAAAAATAAATTAGAAAGAGCATTTTCAAAACGATGTCGAGTGTCATTTCATTAAAAGAGACATGATTATTTTATCCAAAAATGGTACTGTACGTGAGAAACTCATATTTTTTTCTACACCATCAGAAAATAGAGATTTCAACAAATAGAAAACATACCAAATTTTTGAAAATAGTTGATATTTTGACGGGTGATTTTTCGATTAAAAATGAGGCTGATTTTTTGATATTCATTCAATATAAGCTGAAAAAATAAATATTTCTAAACAAATAAATTACAGTGTATTTGAAACATCAAAAGGTAAGTTTCCACCAAATTTCATGACAAAATATTGTTTTTTGTAAGGGATAAAAATAAAAAACCAAAAACTTGTTTTTTTGAGTTTTTCATATAATTTTTGGGGTTATGTGAAAAAAGTTTAAGTACAAAAGTTTTAGATCTTTTTATTACCTACAACTTTGCCATAAAACATTTTTCATTAGGATTCTTAGTTTTTCCGGAATTCAAGAAAACCCATTTTTTACCTTTAAGTACCCACGCCCGTACCCTTCCCGACCTCAGATCGCCCGTAAATTATTTTTCCCTTATTTTTTATAATATTCCCCTCCTTTTCTAATGGGTTTTATTCTACTATAATTTAATTATGTTTTAAAAGCTATCGGCACTGGTCTATTAGGAACTCTTAAATACAAAGCGCTCAATAAAACGGTGCAATCTACTACATATATCTCCGGTAATTATTGCATGTAGCATATATGTACATATCATAATGTCGTCGTCTCGTTTCTAATGTTTCAATATTATATTGTTTAGATATATCATCATAATCGTTAAATTCTTTAAAGTCCTTAAAGCAAAGAAACTTTATGAACTTTTTTCTATTCTTTCCAGTTTTTCTTTATATAATTAGGAGACCATATACTACAACCGTATTCTAAAATACATCGTACATAAGTAAAATATTAATATTTTATGCATTCAATACTATTAAAAGTTTGACATATGCGTTCTATATAGCTTTATTGCTTATATGCCTTATCAGTAATGAGTTCTATATGCTCTGCCATCAATAATTAATTTAGAATCTAATTGAATTCCAAGGTCACGCACTGATTTAACTTCTTGGATGGGCTTGTTATCGATATTATAGTTATATTCAATATTTTATGCTTCCTAGAAAATGTTATACATTATATACATTAATTCTTCTTAATTGTTCCCTCACTGTTGAGGATTGTGACTTCAGAGTTTCTGGGTAAGGCAGGTATTTCAAGGTGTTTTGGAGTTTGATTGACCACCTTTTGGGATTCCGGACTCTAAGGGCCGGCGCCCACTGCCGGCACGGCACTGTGAGTCATGGCAAAGGATTTTAATACTAATTAAGTTATTTTGAATCTTATTTCAATGAGTTTAGAAATTATGTTACTTTATTTTGATACCACGATGCCGTGACGTGCCGCAGGATGCTGCGGCATGATGTGACACGCCACAGGATGCAACAGCATGACGTGTCATGCTGTTTCATTCCACGGGATGCCCCGGCGCGCTATTGCATCCCGCGAGACGTATGGATCACTTTGGGGTCGAGGTTATGATTGCTAGCTAGTTGAAATAAGGTTGAAACTTATGCAGCATTTCGGTGGGGCGCAGTCTGGTCGGTGCGCGGAGGCAAGGGAGGGATATGCGATTTTAGCAAATAACTTAACTTTTCAAATTTCTCTATTGCGACACAACCAACTTATAACCAACTTCGAATACGCGCGGAGCAAAACTGATGGATGCCAGAGTGGCTGGGCTTTCAGCAGGATGCCACGGCATGCCACGGAACGCCGCGGGATGCCGCAGCACGCCGCGGGATGCCACTACACAACCTGCCGTGCCATGCTGTGCCACGCCGTCAGTGAGCGCCGGCCATAAGACGTTTACCGACCATTTTTCTAGAAACTATCAATACAACATACAAAACACATAGTATATTTTGCATATATATATATATATATATATATATATATATATATACACATCCCAATGTAATTTATAATATTTTAATCGTATTAATGCTTCACGCTTTCCTCAAGTTATCTCACATAATGTGAGATAAAAAGTATTCTAAAAAATGTACTTTATATTCGGACCCACTGGTGTAGAAACTTCGACTCATTAAGCAGGACTTATCAATGTTACATCGAGGCATTTTTATATAGTCCCCAAGAAAAAAACAACAAAGGAAAAATATACATGAAGCCCTAAAACAATTAATTATAAGTTCAGTAAAGTCGCAGAAATATTTTTTCGTCCTTGTTTTTGTGAACTTTAATAATTATATTAATTTCCATATATACATACATATATGTATATTTGTAGAAAAATAGGCACTAACTACAAATACCATTCTTGTCCAGGTAAAATTTATGACTTTGACATCAAATTTTCTTTTCGACTCCATAGTAAAATCAAAAAAATTACTTTATACTGTATATATTTACTTTCAAGAGTTATTTAGACACAAGTATGGTAAGGAAATAGGGAACTCTCTTCTATAAAAGAACCAAAGTTACATTTCATAATAACTATTATCAAATTAATATTATTTGTATGAAAAATCTTTTGCTCCGCAGGCTCTACACACACAGTTACTTACAGTAAACCCGCATTAGTTGAACATAGAATAGCCATTTGGAGGAAATATTGGCAACTCACTGCGTGTTCAATGTTATGTTCTCAAAGCTTCAAATTATAATATTACTTGATTTTAACCGCTGCTTTACTTGTGTGTTTTAAGTTTAATGTTCAATTCGGAAACACTCAATCGTTATTGTAGCTTATGTGGTCTATGCACACACAAATGCACACACACACACACACACACAGATATGTTTAACTTTTGAAATTAGTATTAATAAACCCTAAAATAACACTAGAAACCTTGCAACAATATAACCCTTAATAAAAAAAACAAAACACACATAAATTAAAATGTACACCTACATTTTACTATGCTAATTACGAAACAACTGTTTTAAATGTATTTAAATAGGTTGTGTACTCACTAACTAGTTTCTTTATTTGCTTATACTCTAGTTTAGTATAAATAAAGTCAAAGGTTAGTAGAAATTATACATTATACATTCATACAGATTAAAATTGTTTAAGCAAAGAAAAATATAAATATTTCTAGTGAAACCACCCACACAATCTATAACTATATGATATATAACTTAGTATGTGGTTTAATTATGGCAAACTCAAATAATTAAACTCATGAAGTGACCGTTGTTTGTCTTTCAGTGACATTTGCTAGATGACATATATGTGGATCTAGCCTTAAGCTTCGAACGCTAACATATGACCTTTACTCAGTTAAGAGGCGAACGGAATATATTATGAAGCATTTGATACTTATAACATATATTATATGCACTTTACAATATATATACGTATATGGAATATTTATGTTAGATAATGATGTAATAAAACTATTGTATTAATTGTATACATACATATTAGCTGTGTTTTTCTAAATTACAAGATTTGTTTTTTTTTTTATTTATAATTTTTGATCCACGTGTTTGGTTTTTCTTTAAAGTGAAAAGAAATGGGATTTTAATTTTTACATCACGATCCTTAATACATTGTAGGATATAATATATGATTTATTTAAAAATTCTTGTCCAAAAAGAAAAAATATACTTTTCTGTGTACAATCCTCAATTTTTGTTAGGGTAAACTTTTAAAGTCATTTTTTTTTCAAATAATGAAAACTCATTGATGTCATTGCTTCCTTTTGATTTTTTTACTAATAACAATTTTATCGTAATATGCAAATAAGAAATATTAATAATTAAACAATATCGCTGACTTAGATGACGGATTTACCAATGACTATAAATTAAACTTTGTTATTTTTGTCTTTATTACGAAATTTTTGAGGAAATATAAAAATCAAATAGAAAAATCTAAAATATTATTTAGATAATCAAACTAAGAAACAATCACAGAAATATACATGGTATATTATATATTTCTCCATGTTTTCATAAATTTCTCAATAATATAACACAAAGGTTATGAACTATAAAACTATACTCAAACACAAAAGCTAAAACTAGAATTAAGTAAAATTAACTCCGAAGTTTAAACTGACAATTAAGTGAACTACACGTATGTTGGACAAAACATCCTTTGAGTTGTGTTTAATAAAAGACCATAGGGACATATTAGAGTGTCGCTTCAGACGTACGAGTAGCATTCAGAAGGACGTGATACAATTTAACTTCAAGTTGCTGTAGATACTGCAAAACCAGTCTAAGTAAGACCTTACAGTGCTTTCTTCATTCAATTACTATAAGAAGAATATATAATACAACTAAAATATTCAACATGGTTTGTTTAACTTTCACTATCGTAGAAATATTTACAAGTTTTTTATTTGACAGGTGCAACAGAATATATACATATATAATTCTGTGAGTATTGTATGAATATTCAATTATTATTACTACTGAAGCATTTATGGATAAAAATAGTGATTACAGCATATTCAAAACTTTATAAGAATTATCATCATTAGGTTAAAATACTTATTTCTAAATTAAAATTATATTTTTCTTAATAATAATCCGTCATTTCATTAAGCGGTCGTGTCCACAGTAGTTGTGTATATAAGGAACGCTTTGAGGCGCAGCCGACCATGACTACAAGGTAAACTTAAACAACTGAAGAAGACATGCTTGAGATGAGTCAACAAATCTAACAATATTTAAATGGATTAATTAAAAATAATCACAATAGTGAAAATTGTAGCATGCTTAATTTACTTTCAATACCAAATTGATGCAGGAATATCATATTTGTTTCTATTTTCTAGAAGGAAAAACCAATCAATAAATAACCACATTGAAGCTGAACCAAATCTATTTATTTCATATCCCCTTGAATAGTTTTCGGATCTCTGGTATTCATAAGAAAAGAAGACGTATAATAATTATATTTGAGATATCTCTTCCAAGTTACGAGTAGTATTCCTCAGAACTCACAAAAAAGATTAAGTTTATAAATTCAGCCAGCTAAGAGCTTTTTCATATATTACTACGAAACAAATACTATTATAGTGAGATATTAATTTAACTTCGCAAGTCAATGATATTAACTTTATTCATATCATTTCTCTTATTGGTAAAACTAGTTTTAATATTGCTCGTCTGGGTTTTAATTTATACATAAATATACATATATTGTAGGATTTATTAGTCCTTTATGTAAAAAACTAGCTTTCCGCCCGCAGCTTCGCCCCTGTGGGGTTAGGCTATATCGCGTTTCCAAGAGAACCTTTCAAAAGTCTGGGAAAAAAACTATCCTATGTTCTTTCCCAAGGCCAACTCTATGTCTGTACCAAATTTCATTAAAATTAGATCAGTGGATTAGCGTGAAAGCGCAACAGACAAACAGAGTTATTTCGCATTTATAATATTTGTAGGGATAGCAAAAGAATTAAGAACTAACATATAATGTAGATTAGATATCAGAATAATAATGTGTAGGTTGTAGTTAATGTTTTTATTGCTTTTAGTTAACAAGGAAATAAATAACACTTTGTATGTAGTATAAACTTCTTTGACAGACGATAGATGTCGCTGACTGTCAGTTGTTATGTCATATTAAGTATACATTCTTCCTTCGTATTCGTAGTACATACCGAAAACAAAGGGCATAAAATAGCGAATGAAAATTACACATTATGTTCTCCTATTGAACAAGGTATATAGTGACATCTCGTCTGCTCGTGATCACGGTTGCTGTAAAGTAACCGAAAAATCGGGAACATGTTGTTAAAAAATATAAACGCGTAGTAAATCCGAAACATATTAGTTTTATTTCACTGAATACTCACGAAAATCTTACATTTTATTTTATAAGAGATCTTCAACCCTCTAATTAGAGTGGTTAATATAAATGACAGTAAAAAACAATTGAAAAAACAAATTACAATATTAAAAAGAAAACACTACTTATCAGTGAATGAAGAATCCTTTACTTCTAATTGGATCCACGTGGACTCATTCTTTAAATCGTCTCTACTGTTCACCTATGCAAAAGTTTTTAATAATAGTGAATTATTAACGTTCTAATCAAACAGCTTCATTGCAGTCCAAAGATAACTTGTTCCTCTTAAAGACAGTATAGTTTCATATTTAGTACCAACGAGCTTAGCTTGTTGTAATATTTAAAAGTACTGGGAAACTCACATAATATCTTGAGCATAAAGCAAAGCAGCTTCCTCTTTATACGGAATGGAATTTTTAATATATAAATATATCAAATGCTTGTAGTACTTTGACAGTAAAACTTAGCAGTTCAAGGAGAGCGGCACAAGCACTCTCTACTTTGAATTTTTATTGCATGCTGAGTCAAATAAGGTCTGACGATAAAATCTTAAGTCAATAAGCCAATATTTTTGCTTAGTATTTACTATATATACTTAAAATTCATATCAATAGTAAAAATGTTTTTCAAAAATGAAATGTGTTATAATGCCCATGAGAAAATATGAAGTAGTGTTTTTCAGATGAAGTATAAAAAAAAGTTGTAGTAATTTATTGATTTTTCTTTATATTGTTTTAATTTTTTACTACACATCCTAATATATTCGTAGTGTTTTTATTTCTATTTATAATCGTAAATGTACATAATGTAGGTTAAATGTATTTAAAGTTCCATTAGCATGAACTAAATTGACATTCATTTTAATGAGATGAATTTAAAGATGGTTTGCATAAAATATCTTGAGTATATAGATTAACCTTTTTAATGAACACAATATTAATTTGTTCTAAACATCGATAAACATATTAATCACAAACAGTACAAAAAGTTTTTTTATGCCTTTTATATCTATATTATTGAATAGTTAATAGAAA